TTATATTTGTCGGGATTTTGATATAGTCGGGATTTTGATATAGTCGGGATTTTGATATAGTCGGGATTTTGTAGTCGGGATTATGATTGTCGGGATTTTGATATAGTCGGGATTATGGTTGTCGAGTTTTTGCTACAGTCGGGATTATGGTTGTCAAGATTTTGATACAGTCGGGATTTCGGTTGTCGGGTTTGCGATTGCCACCGATTTAACTTACGATTGACAGATGAAATAATGGAGGTTTAAATTTGTATGACAGTTATGAAGACGTATGTTATGATAAATGATTTTGAAGAAATGAATGCAAACAGAGAAATGCTGCATCTGAATTGAAATAAAACTTAATTAAATTTTGGAAGGTTAATCGACTGCCGGAAACGGCGGACAAAAGATGAAAGACTCGGAGCGTCAACTGGGGTAAATGCAAAAAGTTTGCGATGTGCCGCCATCTATTGTTCGAAACGGAAATGCATTGTTTTAAATAATTAATGCAAAGGCCGTGATAACACGTACAGCGACAGAACAAAAATAGTTTGAGAATCGCCGCGAGTATTGCGATTGAAATCGATTCAACTGCATATCGAATTCAAACGAAATAAACAAATTTCGTTTTTCATCATTATTACAAACATCTAAAAGTTAACGTCATTTTGAAACATGTCAATCGTAAATTAAGTATTTACTACGTTACCATGGTTACTTACTATATGTTAGTTCAAACAATTGATGTGATCATAGCCGTGACGATAAACTAATTAAAGTTAATTAATCGCGTGCACTCAATCAAGAGAGTAACCTCTAAATTACTGGAAAACCAATTAGATTTTTTTTTCTTCTTGTAATTTCATCAATTAGCGAGATTTGTGGACGGAGCGTAACTGCAATAATCGGTGGTCGTGCGTACACACAATTTATGGAAATTCAACAACAAAAAAGGTTTCTTATGTAGAAAAACAAAATTATGTTTGTAAACATGTTTCGATATACAAATTTACATAAAAAGAAGGAAAATGATGAAACTAAGTGCTGTGATAAGGGAAATAGCGTTCTTTTTGTCGTCTTCCGAATTTTTGAATGGTTTTGGTGTGTGTGTGGTAGCAATCTATGACCCAGATCAAAATGCAAGGTTCGTAGAGTGTGGAGGAGAGCCGCACTATACGCAATTACACTTTAACCTCGTTTTCCAGTTAATTATGAATGTATGAAATTAAAATGCCAATAACAATGAATAAGTAAACGTCGGGTGTGGAACGAGTAGTCCAAATGTTAATACTTTTGATTGATTGAAAGTAGTTCTAATGTTATACCTAAAGTAAGAGGAGTAGTATTATTTTAAAATTCTTGTATGAAATTGGAATTTGTTATTTGAGTGCTGCTTCTTTATCTCGTCGAATGTTTACAGAGATATCGAAGCAATTATGTATAGAATGTTCGATCGATGATTACGAAATAACTATGTTTGCATCTCCGAATCGTAAGAATAATGGAATTTCACGTAATCGCTTATTTTGAGGTCGTTATCCTGGACTTTAAGAGTCATTGTTACGAAATCAGGTCTTGTTGTCGGGTTAAGAAAAAATAAACAAACAGAACGATTACGAAACAAACAATTGTGAGGGGTTTACTTTACCACCTGTAAACCACGGTAGCAGCAGCAAACCATTACAGAAATTGAATTGACAAATCCTTTTGTTATCTCCTTCATCCTCTTTTCAAAGAAGCTTAACAGTTTTTAAAGAGAGAGATGATGAGATTGAGGGAGTGTGAATGTTCAAGAGAGATGGTTGGAATGCGACGTTAATAGTCTGTCCGGAAAAGGGGACAAAGGGCGTTACGAGAAAGAGCTAATTGTGGACCTGCCGAGTCCATCTGATTGTTGACTAAATCCGAAGTTAAATTTAGTCTGAACGACCGTTGCCGAATCCTGATTTTCTGCAGGTCATAGGTCTTCGCCGCAAATATTTACTACCACCACTTATTATATACTACTGACCTTTTCGACCATCATCATCATCGTGAATAGGGCACGTGATAGAGAGAGAAAAAAAGGGAGACGAACGAAGACGCACTAGTTTGAGAGAGGGTAAAACCGTTTCCCGGCAACGAAACAAAAGTACGCTCAGTTTCGCGCCAATCAGCGACGCGGTCGTATCTCGGGGTAACCACGGTTACAACAATTTTGAAAAAAAAAAGTTAGTTTCCTTTTCAGTGTTCTGTGCGTGCTCTAGTGTTTCAATTGGTATTTATTAATTTATTAATCTATTCTTTTTAATTAACTCCATAATTTAATATGTTTCATTTACATCAAACTAAAACAAAAGAATCGTACATTTGACAAAAGACTATAGTTTTTTTATATAAACTTGAAGGCGCTTTTGTTTCTTTCTTTATTTTTTTGGTTACGAACGGAAAATATAAATTGACAAAAAAAATGTGTTCGGACTTGACACGTGCTTCCATATCTATTTTCGTAATCCAAAAAAAAAAAAATCAACAATTGCGTAAGCCACTTGAAATTGATGATAATTGCAACACTTTTTTTTTTTTATTTTCTCATCACTGATTTTGTTTCGACCGATGGATTTTCAAACGATTTACTCAATATGAATTGATAAACGTTAAAGTTCGCAATAACTTATTTATTGTTAAGTTAAGCAACGTGTTTAGGAGATTTTACTTGGATGGATGATCTTTGTCTAACTTTAAACCAATGCAGCTAATGATTTGATAACTTCAAGCGCTTTGTTTTGTGTTAATAACAAAGGAATTTGTAAAGAAAATAAGTTTGTTGTAGTTAATCACAAAAGCGGTTATAAAAATTCTTTCGGTTAATTAACGCGAAAACAAAGGTTTTAACGCAATTTCGCGTAGAATTCAAGATAAACTAAACTAAATTGTATCAATGACGACTTACCATTCGTGAAATCGAATCGTTGCCTCGTGCTTATTCATAAACTGAAAAAGAGCCAAATCATATCCAATTAGCGAGTAAATAATGAGAGACAAAGAGAAGAAGTAAAAAAAAAAACGTGTTAATAAATTGCAGAAATATTTTGAAAATATTTACTTAATTAATGGCGTTGCGTTGATCGAGTAATAATAATATTTAGTAATTGGTTTCCATGGAAACGACTAATTACGACGATGATAAGTTGTTTTCGTTGTCATGGAAACATTGACTCATTTAGAAACCTTTAAAATGTGTAAACAATGTTTGAACGAAGTATATCTAAATCTAATAATGAAAATGATGATCTGAAATTTGGTTTTTCGTTATGAAAACTAAGCAAAGTGAATATTCGCAATGAATCGTCTTTGTAAATCTATTGCAACTGTTTGCATTTGCTTCATTAGCGTTAAATGTGTGCAGTAGGTGTTTTTTTTTAAATGCAATTACGCAATTTCCTCAATATTAAACAATATATTTGAACAATGAAAAAAGTGGCGTACTTTTATTTTCTCATACTTTACGTCGCGATGCGTTTTTTTTTTCGTATTTAATCATAACAATGTTGAGGAATTCCGTCCTCGCCTTTGATCCTTCCATCTCCACCCGAAATTTCCGTCCAAACATCCTGCTGCATACCTCGTTGTCTTTGGCAACAGCATCTTGTTGCCATGGTAAAGGAAGTAAACAAAATAACAGAACGTCGACGTGCAGGATGTATCACTTTGTGAATTAATAACAATTACGCACTGTTCCGAGAGCCGACAATGTCCTAGCATATTATTAATTGTTTTTTTGTTAATTTATGAAGCGAATTTGTTGGACATAACATAATATTTGGTTTTCAGTTACATGTTGACTTTCTTAAAAAGAAACAACAACAAAAGTTTCCATAAACAAAGTAAATCTAAACAAAACTCCGACGATTTTGTAAACACCCATTAAATGATAATTCGTGTGTAATTAATACCGAAAAACGATACGAAAACCACAAATAATCAATGATGTGTATTGTTGCCATGGCAAACAACACTATTAGACAATTTCTTAACAATTTACATAATATTGTTATAACTAAGTATATCCATGACAACTAAACTTTTTTTTTTAAATTATTTGAGTAATAATAATAATAAAATTGTTACCATGGTAATTATCAGTTTTACTTGAAACTAAATGGATCGTGTGTGTGTGTTTTTTTTTTAATTAAAAATGGTGGCTTATTTTGCAAATTCTTGTTATATATCCATAGCAACGGACTTTTTTTCGCATAGCCACACAACAGTTATTCAAACGTCTTTGATTCGACGGTTTGGAATTCCCTTTGAGCGAATGAGTAAAAAAAATAAAGAAAGAATTGAAATAAAAGGGGTGAATATATATATTGCTGCAGTCGTCGTCGCGACAGCTGCATTTCGCCAAAAAAAGAAAAACTTTTTTTTTCCTTCATTCTTTTTCCGTACTTTTCATGTTAAGTTAGTGTCTGCGTCGGTCACGTTCATTTAAATATTCGCGGTGCACACAAGGGAAACGCATTTCGTTTCGCATATTTCGCAAAATTCCCCAGCCGAAAATGGGATGAAAAATATCTGCATGTAAAAACGCAGTCGGAAATTTGGACGCGACGATCGGATTCGAAACTAATTAAAAATTATCGATCGATTTGGAGAGAGAGAGAGAAAAATGCCTGATGGAAATTGGTAGGGTCTTTGGATCTTATTAAATCTCGTCCGATCGAAAGGGCAATCATTTCGTGTTAAATGAATAACTAACTGAAATGAACTGAATGAAATAGAAATATGTATATATATATATATAGTGAGGATGAGGAGAAGATTGGAACTTTATCGAATCAAGTTTCAATCTAATTCCATCTATATACAGGGTGACCCAATTGAACTGCAACTTTTCAGAACGCTGTATTTTTTTTATTTGAACTTGGATTTTATTGAACCACAAGCAAAAAAATGTTGAAAAACAATCAAATTTTTCGAATTCATTTCAAATTTTCGATATGGTCGCCTTTAGCGCCAAATATAGCTCTGAGTTGGTCGACAAGTGAATAAACTTGCGGAATCTTCCTCCATTCACGAAGAAGGGCTTTATTGAACACATTAACACTTTGGTATTTTTTAGTACTGATATTGGCCTGTAAAATGCCCCATACTGAGAAGTCCATACTAATGAAGTGTGGAACGTTGTCTCTCAACCATTGCTTGTGCAGAATCTTCTTGAAACGTCCACTTTTTCTAAGTGAAATGTTCGGTTGTCCACGGCTTCAGAGCATCTTCCAAAACCTTTTCACTGTAGACATTCGCATTAACCTTAACACTACAGACCAAAAACACCAACGGAGAGCGACTATCGACAGTCACACCATCCCAAACTAATTTGACTTCTTGTTTCGAATATCTAAATTTCCGATTAACATCTCTTCGAAGTAAATTCGATCAATTTTTGTTGTTTACGAATTTCTCAATTGGGAAATTTTTCTCATCAGACAAGACGATATTTGGTAATTGACTGCGTTCTCACATCGGTGAGATTTTGTCCTTTTTGGAACTTGTCCAATGAGTCCAATTTTGAGTATTTGTTGCATGGTTATTTCTATATGTTCAATTTGTCTACCACTTCGTTGCGGATTTCATTCAATTCCAGCCTTAAGTTTCCAAACCACTTCTGCCATAGATGTAGTTTTTTTTGACCACTTAAATGGCATTTTGTAACACTACTAGCTTCATTATAACCATAATAGCCAATTTTGGTTTTCCGCTCAAACTATTACGTTTGAATTCCATCACTGAAAACTTTTTTTTCCTTCAAAAAACTGAAATGCAAATGCTTCTACTATAATAACAATAAAATCAGCTATCATTAGGTGAAATATGGACAGAACATTACCAACGGTTCAAAAGTTACAGCAGTTTTAAATTAGTTGCAGTTCAATTGGGTCACCCTGTATATACAGTTGTTATAGAAACCACACGCCGAGTTTGCTCCTCCCTCTCCCACTTGATTCAACCAAGAAGATACTTGACGATCTGCAGATGTTTATGGATACGCGCTTACCACCATCCGACAATTAAAATTAATTCGTCGTGCATATGCAATTCATTTCATCTTTCAACTTTCGTTTCAGAAGAATGAATTTGCAATTAACACCTCTTCTCTACTCCTCTGTTCATCTCTATCTATCTCAGTTCAGTTCAGTTCAGGTAGTTTCGGCAAGTGGTACAAAGGGACGACCCTTCTTGTGGAGTGAAGGGAGAAGAATGAAATCTCGTCTCGAGTGTAGTAGGTCAGAGCACCCGCGTTTCCTCACCCGAAATCGATATGGAATATATTATTCCCGTTGCTATGGTCACACAAAGAATAACTTTGAAACAATCTTATTTACTTGCTGGTCGGTCGGTTTAAATAAAGCAAACACGGAAATCTCTCTATACACAAATTTCACAAAATTCCGCTCAAAATACAACAAATCATTATCTTTTTGGACAACAAAACTAAAATTTGGAATTGTGGATTTAACATTGTCAATATGTTCGAATTTGTTTAATTTAATTTATCTTTGAACTTTAAACAAATTTCCCACAAATTACAATAATTCTCATTACACTTTTTAATCTCGATAATTTCCATTTTAAGTCCTAAAGTTATCGGTTTTTTTTGCATTAATTACTTATTGTTACTTTTTTTTTTAAATTGAATATTCATCGAATATTTAAAATAAATGTACTTAACTGAGTTCCTTCTACTTGCCGCTTATTAGTTAGTTTTGAGTGTAGAAAGCGGTAAGTTTGTATAATAGTGCGAAAATTCGTAAAAATCAATAATCGTTAATTAATTTAAATTTAATTTGTAACTTTGGTTGCCTAATAACTATTTCTTAATTAATTAATAGACGATAATTATCTATCCTTAACACTACTTACGTCTTTTCTATAATTTTGCACCTTTGGTTGCATAATTAATTGTGGGTGTGCCCCCCACGTTGGTCGCCAGAAAGTAAACAAATTTCGAAAACGCATATTACGCTAAAACTACTTGACGCAAACGTTATCAAATGTGTTGTTTGAACTGTAACGGTTTTTCAGCGCAGCGAGATTAATGCACGTGTTGATTCGCGTTTCACATTTAGAATCAAAGAAGACCGGAGCACACATTGCGAAACTCGTCTCTGTAATAAAATATTGTAGATTTGTTTATATAATAATTGTAAATTGTTTGTTTTGCAGGAAGATGATGCAGTGAGTTGCGGAACGAAGAGAAAAAGGAAAACTTTTAAACTTTAGCTGATTTTGATATACTACATACGGTGAAGATGAGCTACAGGGAAGAGCAACTTTTGAACAATACTAGGCGGAACGGAAGCATCGTCACTTCTTACAACAATGGTAAGCATTGCTGACGTTTATTAATGAATTTGTCTTGGTCAGCTCTTTTCGTCCACTCATATGTTCTTTTTTTTTTGTGGTCATGGTGCATGTTTTAATTTTTTGCCGTTCTTTGTTTCCTTTTTGTCGCCGGTCGTCAGCCGATGGTAACCAGTCGGAGAAGTCTGTGCTTCAGCAGCAACAACCAGTCAGGCTTCAACCCTCGTGGGAGGAGAACAACCTGCCCGACGACGAACTGAACTTCAAGAACCTGACGATGGACGACGCGAGTCTGCAGATCAACGCCCCCAGGGATCGCTACAATCTGGTCTACATCACCTTCCTCATACACGGAATCGGGGTGCTGATGCCATGGAACATGTTCATCACTGCCAAATCCGTGAGTAAACATTCATTCATTCATTCATTCATCGAATCATCAACACGACACGATCGCACACGAAGGGGAGAACTTAATTGATTGTGGTCTTCCGCTCGTCCGGTCAAAGGCATTACACGAGATAATCGCTTCCAGCGCGTTCAACAACATCAAAAAAAAAAAGGTGCAACGAAACCCTCGACTTCCGAGAAGATGGGTTTAGCACAGGTAGTTTCGGGGCTTTCTTCCTCCGAACTCTGAAACTTTCGTTCGAGACACCCGACGAAGCGTGATTTTGTTGAACGCGTGAATAATGCAATTCGCTGAATTACTTTAAAAAGGGAACTGCTGACAGAAAGAGAGAGAGAGAGGAACAAATGGGGCAGAAGTGATGCCGTTTAGTGAAGAAGATAAGCAAAGTGATGTTCTGCTCCTCCTACTGCAGTTTGCGAGTTTAAATGGACAGATCGATATATTCCACGAACTCGTAAATACTCATCAACTATGTGTCTCTAACAAAATCGAAGCACATGCGATGAATGTGCGAAGATCGATAAAGTGCACATAGTCTATGGACTATGGACTAAAGCAATGACACGTCTTGCCTCATAGTCATTAAAAACATTTCTCTCTATACACAAATTATATAAATAATCTTAGCTGTAACAGTAAAAAAGTAGGCTGAGATTATGAATAATCTGAGAAATTATTAATAATATTGGGTCAATTATAATAATATGTTAAAATATATGAAAGAGGTTGATGGAACATTAACATAAAAATTGGTGTCGATTTCAGGTGCTGATACACAATACTTAATCCGGACATTAATTTAACCCCATTTGTTGGAAGACTTAAAGTGATAATCTATCTTAATAGGCGACCGGAAAACATTCGAATGAAAGCAGCGTGATTGTATGCAACATAATCTCTTTGTTGAACGCGTTATCAAAATTATACGCGAGAACACAAATAATGATTCATAATATCATCTGTTTTATCATCCGCACGCAATGTTAAGACTTTGCTCTTTTGTTCTATTTTAATTGGAAGCGATTATAAGAGAGCGCGGGACAAATGCGGCCCGCGGGCCCCACAACATCATAATCCAACAATCGAATTCGAAACGAACGCTTGATTAAATATCAAATCTATACTCAGATGTAAGCTTAATTGCATACCAAACAAAGCTGTAGCATTGATTGATTGATTGATCAGAGTGCGTATAAGAGCTCGTATCGATTACCAAGTAATTTGCGTTTGCATTTTCGAAATATTATTGCAAACAAATCATTCACACGGATTAATCTGCTGAAGGAATTATTATGAAACTATCGAAAAAAATCGTCTAGTCTAGTCTAGTCTAAAATCAACAAAATGAGAATGTTGCAAGGATTATTTCCGACGAATATATAAACATGTATTTATAAAATGCGTTTAAAAATACATGAATTATTCGAATACAATTGCGAAACCGGATTATCCAAGTAAATTTAACTATTTTTTTGTCACTTTTTTTTTTGAACGCAGACGTTCTTATTTTATAATATATATATTTGGAGCAGATTTGAAGGATCGACGTCTAAATGTTGATGGTGACTAATCGTCGGTTCATTTTTACTTAATGACCAGGAAGTGGACTCGCAAATTTGGATGCGATCCAAAAACAATTTGGGGAAAATGTTAGTGGACTTCCTCTATTTATGTTTTGGTTTTGTATTATTTCCGGAAATACTTTTCATCATTTAGTTTCTGTCTGTAATTATTTGCTATTAAATAAGATTTGTGTGCAACGCTTACCCTTTTCTTTCTTTTGCAGTATTTCTCCGAGTACAAACTGGGAAAAGATTACATCGGCGAAGAGCTGGAATACGGCGCGAGCTTCCTGCAGTACCTTGGCTTCGCCGCGCAAGTTCCTAACGTCATCTTCAACTGGCTGAACATTTTCATGAAGATGGGCGGAAATCTGACCACCCGCATCGTCTGGAGCATCTCCATCGAGGTCGTCATCTTCGTGATGACCATCGTCTTGGCAATGACGGACAGCAGGGATTGGCCGGGCGCCTTCTTCTGGATCACCATGGTTTCCGTTGTCGTGTTAAACAGTGAGAAACGATCTACAACTAAATAATAATAATCAGTTAATAACGCTTTTTGGTGATTGCAGTGGTGAACGGTATTTATCAAAACACCATCTTCGGGATGGCCGCCAAATTACCAATCAAATACACCGGTGCCGTCGTCCTCGGTTCCAACATCAGCGGCACTTTCACCTCGCTGGTGCTCATCCTCTCGGACACGTTCGCATCCAGCCAGAGGATGTCCGCAATCTACTACTTCATAACAGCCCTCTTCGTGCTTCTCGTCTGCTTCGACACCTACTTCGCCCTTCCACTCAACGTAAACACCCCGCACACGTTATCTAAGATGTCCTTGCTCTAATGGTGATTTTCTTTGCAGAGATTCTACAGGCATCACGAGTTGAAGGAGCAGAAGGAGGCGCAGATCCAGCAAGCCAACAACCACGGTCGTCAAGTCCGAGTGCCTTACTTATACGTGTTCAAGAAAGCGCTGCCGCAGCTCTGGAACATCTTCTTCGTGTTCTTCTGCACGCTCGCAGTTTTCCCCGCCGTTCATGCCGGTGAGTTTTCCTAAAAAAAAGCATATATCAACAACAAAAAAAAGCAATATAACATCAATTTTCGCAGACATCAAACGCATCGACGATGACTTTTTCATCTCGGAGAAGTACTTCACCAGCGTCACCTGTTTCCTCACCTTCAACGCTTGCGCCATGATCGGCAGTTACCTCGCAGGTTTATATCAATTCGTAAGTGAATTTTCGATTTCATATATTATATAATCGAAATTAGTGATCGTAATTAATCTTATTTTGCAGCCGTCGTCGAAGTACCTTTGGATTCCCGTATCTTTGAGGGTCCTGTACATCCCCTTCTTCCTGCTCTGCAATTACCAGGTGGAATTGGTCACGAGGGCGCTGCCCGTGCTCATCAACAGCAATTGGGCTTACTGGATAGGAGCAATAACTTTGGGCCTCACCAGCGGGTACTTCAGCTCTTTGGGCATGATGTACGCCCCAAGGTAAATAAACTGAAACAATAAATTCAAAGACAATCAAAAATCTTACTCTTTTTCTTGCAGAACTGTTGAGCCGAAATACGCGTCGACAGCTGGAATGTTCGGCGCGGCGGCCCTCATCACCGGCATCTTCACCGGAATCCTCTCCGGCTTCATCTGGCCCACGTTAATCAAGCACGTGGGCATATAACAGAAGTGCAAAGTGTATGACACGGAATCCACTTTTCGCATCCAATTTTAATTAATAATAATTAATTAAATTATTAATAATAATAATAGCCACAATGTTTGCGATCGGATTCCCTCTCATATACCACAAACAAACAAAAAAAACTTTTGAACTGAAAAAAAAAAATATGAAAGCAAAAGAGTTTTAGTTTAAGTTTTCATCCTCACACCGACAGCAGCAGAGAAGGAACAAAATAAAATTAAACAATAACCGTTTTCGCGCAATTTCTTTTTTTCTAAATTTGTTGTTGTTGTCGTTGTTTCTTTGTTTGTTAATTATGCGTATTTTATTTTGATGATCAAACAACACACGATAATGAATAACGTTCTTCCAGTTAAAAATATTTCAAAATATATATATATATAAATTGTTAAAGTAATATGTAATTAATCGCGAAGCGATGCTTTGCAAAGTTTTTGTACATAGATTTATTAATTGTATTCGATTATTTCCTCGATTTCTTAATACTACTAAGATTAATACGTCTATCATAGGAGACCTTGACCAAAAAAAAAACAAGCAAACAATTGAACTAAACACAAGCAGATACAATCAATCGACCCTCTAGCTTTTAAGTATATTAACCGATTTTGCATTTACGAAAGGGAAGAAAGAAAAAAAAAACATTGATATATAATTACCGAATTAAATCTGTTTTCGTTGATCCATCCATCACTGCAAATCGCTGCGCGCCGTACAATTGATTTTTGTCGTTGTTTTTTCACCACTTCCACCCAAAACAGCATCTATAAAACAGAAAAAAATGTTACAACTTGTTGATTAATAATAGTTTTTTTTTTGTTGTTGTCGCATTCGTTGAATAGCAAGAAGTAATAATCGACTCGACTGATGATATTATGGTAGAGCGTAAGACAATAAGACCGCACACGGATTGGTAATTCTAGATTTTGTGTTCGTTGATGATGAAACAATAAGATCAGAAGAAGAAGGAGGAAAACGATATAATTTTTGATATATATTTCATGTACATAAATAAGGGAATTTCGATGTGAGCTGCGGGCGGCGCTGATGATGATCATGATGATGATGATGATGAAGAAGAGGACGTTATTTTGTTGCATTTGTAAATTTTGTACATAAAAAACATCTTTTTCGACGTTTTATTTTATTATTACTATTATTATTTGTTTACATTGAATTTAGCTTGTTCAATAAAAGTTTTATCGAAAAATTAATAAGTGATTTCCTCCATCCTCCAAACGCTCTTAAATGCATCAAAAACTGTTTCGATTAGTCCGAGCAATAAAAATTAATTTATAAGTGTGCCGTGAAATAAACAAATGAATCGTCGGATGACAATGAGAAAATAAAGGCGTGTGTACAAAAAGAAAAATTATGAAAAATTACACAATTAGAATGAAAAACGACGATTAATTATTGAATTATTCAATTAAAATAAAGTATATTCACCCATTTCCTAACTGTGTTCACTTTGCAAGTTTCTAATTGTAGACGAAGTGTAGAGAAGAGACGCACGCGAGTCGAACGAACTTCGAATGATGCAATTGTCTTGTGCATCGTTTGTTTATTAAAACGGAAGTACGCAAACTTTTTTTTTTTTGTTTTTCGTAACACCTGTGACGCCAAACATTATTGCGATTAAATTATTCGCAAACACAAAGAAAACAAAATTTAAAAAAAACGAATATTGTTTTGTAAATTTTGAATTTTTTCAACAAAAAATGTTTTTAATAATTGGATGATTCAATTAATTGATAATTATCGATTTATAATTAATTGATGAATGCGATTAATTTAAATTTGAATATCATTGATAATTGTCGTTTGTAATTCTAGATTTTGTGTTCGTTGATGATGATGATGATGAAGAAGAGGACGTTATTTTGTTGCATTTGTAAATTTTGTACATAAAAAAAAACATCTTTTTCGACGTTTTATTTTATTATTATTACTATTAATATTTGTTTACATTGAATTTAGCTTGTTCAATAAAAGTTTTATCAAAAAATTAATAAGTGATTTCCTCCATTCTCCAAACGCTCTTAAATGATCAAAAACTGTTTCGATTAGTCCGAGCAATAAAATTAATTTATAAGTGTGCCGTGAAATAAACAAATGACCCATCGGATGACAATGAGAAAATATAGGCGTGTGTACAAAAAGAAAAATTATGAAAAATTACACAATTAGAATGAAAAACGACAATTAATTATTGTATTATTCAATTAAAATAAAGTATATTCACCCATTTCCTAACTGTGTTCACTTTACAAGTTTCTAATTGTAGACGAAGTGCAGAGAAGAGACGCACGCGAGTCGAACGAACTTCGAATGATGCAATTGTCTTGTGCATCGTTTGTTTATTAAAACAGAAGTACGCAAACTTTTTTTTTTGTTTTTCGTAACACCTGTGACGCCAAACATTATTGCAATTAAATTATTCGCAAACACAAAGAAAACAAAATAAAAAAAAAACGAATATTGTTTTGTAAACTTTGAATTTTTTCAACAAAAGATGTTTTTAATAATTGGATGATTCGATTAATTGATGATTATCGATTTATAATTAATTGATGAATGCGATTAAATTAAATTTGAATATAGTGCCAACTTTGATGCGTATCGATTCATTGATAATTGTCGTTTGTAATTAGTGATTTTTGTTGCGGAAAGTTTGCTGTTGTTGTGGATTTTTGTGTGAGACGGTTGGCAGGATTGACGATTTGACGTTGCGCCTCAATGGTGGTCAATTTTTTTTTGTTAATGTGTTTTTGCGTGCGATCGGAGGAGGCAGCTTCCTTGTTAAAGAGTGCGTGGGCGTGTGGTTGAGTTGTTGTTTTTTTGTTGTTGTTGTAGTGGTTTCAGTGGTTTCGGATTTTGGGTTCGATGGTTAAACGATGATCGGATATGATGATGGGTGATCAGTTTCGTAAGGTTGAACAATACTCACCGAAATCGTCGCCGAGGGGGGCGCGTTCGCCAGTCGTTTCCCGCCAGGACTCCTCAGGAACATTAAAGACGACGATCCTGCTGGGAAAGAACCCCTCCATCGTCCCCAGTGGACCTTTCTACCTGCTGAAAGAACCACCAGGTACGCTGAGTATCGAAAAGGTTTTTCGATGACTGTTTCATCTTTGTTTTGTCTTTGTGCAGGGGAATCTGATCTGACGGGAGCCACAAACTTGATGGCCTATTATGGTCTCGAGCACTCTTACAGCAAGTTCAGTGGCAAGAAGCTCAAGGAGCAGCTATCGTCGTTCCTGCCCTCGCTGCCCGGTGTCATCGACTCGCCAGGACAGCAGGACAACAGCTCGCTCAGATCTGTGATTGATAAGCCTCCGATCGGGGGTAAAGACATTTTACCATTGACCAGTGTGCAATTGGATGGATTCAGATTACATCCTGGGCCTGTAAGTGACGTTAATACTTTGCAAAACAACAACAGTTGCTTTCATATTTCTTTGGTTCACAGTTGCCCGAACAGTATCGTTACGCGAACCAAGCGCCGATAAAGAAACACAAGAACAAGCATAAGAAGCATAAACACAAGGAGGGTGGTCCTCCGAGCCAGGAGACACCAGTCAGTGAGGTGGGTCCGGATACGCACGAGAAGAAGCATAAAAAGCAGAAGAGGCACGACGACGACAAGGAACGCAAGAAGAGGAAAAAGGAGAAGAAGAGGAAGAAACAGAAGCACAGTCCCGAGCATACAGGAGGTGGCATGACACCCAGCCAGCACGGCAGCAATTGAGCAATGTACAAACCTTCGTTTATTTTTTTTATTATTATTGTTCTTTTCAGTTGAATATTTTATTTAATTATTACTAGTTTATGATCTACCACCCGCATCCAGCTAACTTTTATTTCCTTTTAGGCTACAAATAAATAGAAGATTATTATTATTGTATATAAACATACGCGGGTTTTTTTTTTAATTATTATTACTATAATCAACTGTTATTGTTTTTTTAATCCATGCGTATTAAACAGCGGTATTTTCATGTAATTTGAGACAATAACGCGCGATTCTTTGCAGACGAATCCAATCGTTTTTCGTCAACGATTATTGTCGAAGATCGCCAGTTTACAATACTTTAAAAGATGCTGTGTATATTTTCTCATCTGGTATGTGGACTAATAATAATAACAACACCCTTTCTACCAAATATTTGATTTTATTTATTTTCAACAGACTTGAAGAATTTATCATTATTTACATAAGACGAATTCTCTTCTTTATCAGTGACAGATATGACCTTTCATCAAATTACTCTACAATAATTGACTTTAATCAGATCATCTAAGATGCAAATTGAAGACAAAACTATTGTCTTTCCGATAAGCTTATTGCCAGTTTTGTGTTAGTTGTTCTCTTCAACTTTTTTTTTGCGAAAGTTTCTTTTATCCGGTGCTTGTTTGGTTGCATATTCAACTATTGATCAACATTAGTTCGAACAGACTTGAAGAATTTATCATTATTTACATAAGACAAAGTCTATTCTTTATGAGTGACAGATATGACCTTTTATCAAATTACTCTACAATCATTAACTTTAATCAGATTATCTAAGATGCAAATTGGAGACAAAACTATTGTCTTTCCGACAAGCTTATTGCCAGTTTTGTGTTAGTTGTTCTCTTCAACTTTTTTAAGAAAGTTTCTTTTTTCTGGTGTATGTCTGGTTGCATATTCAACTGTCGATTATTTATTAGACTGTTGATCAACATTAGTTCAAACAGTCTTGAAGAATTTATCATTATTTACATAAGACAAAGTCTCTTTTTTATGACTGACAGATATGACCTTTTATCAAATTACTCTAAAATCATTAACTTTAATCAGAAGCTCCAAGATGCAAATTGAAGACAACACTATTGTCTTTCCGATAAGCTTATTGCCAGTTTTGTGTTAGTTCTTCTCTTCGACTTTTTTGCGAAAGTTTCTTTTATCCGGTGCATGTCTGGTTGCATATTCAACTGTCGATTATTTATTAGACTGTTGTTGAACATTAGTTCGAACAGACTTAAAGAATTTATCATTATTTACATAAGACGAAGTCTCTTCTTTATTACTGACAGATACGACCTTTTATCAAATTACTCTAAAATCATTAACTTTAATCAGAAGCTCTAAGATGCAAATTGAAGACAAAACTATTGTCTTTCCGATAAGCTTATTGCCAGTTTTGTGTTAGTTCTTCTCTTCGACTTTTTTGCGAAAGTTTCTTTTATCTGGTGCATGTTTGGTTGCATATTCAACTGTCGATCAACATTAGTTCGAACAGACTTGAAGAATTTGTCATTATTTACATAAGACAAAGTCTATTCTTTATGAGTGACAGATATGACCTTTTATCTAATTAATCTACAATCATTAACTTTAATCAGATGCAAAATGAAGACAAAACTATTGTCTTTCCGACAAGCTTATTGCCAGTTTTTTGTTAGTTGTTCTCTTCAACTTTTTTGAGAAAGTTTCTTTTATCCGGTGCATGTTTGGTTGAATATTCAACTGTTGATCAACAGACTTGAAGAATCATTTACATAAGACGAAGTCTCTTCTTTATCAGTGACAGATATGACCTTTTATCAAATTACTCTACAATTATTAACTTTAATCAGATCATCTAAGATGTAAATTGAAGACAAAACTATTGTCTTTCCGATAAACTTATTGCCAGTTTTGTGATAGTTCTTCTCTTCAACTTTTTTGCGAAAGTTTCTTTTTTCTGGTGCATGTCTGGTTGCATATTCAACTGTCGATTATTTATTTAGACTGTTGATCGTTGCATCTTTTACCTCACTTTACGACCTATCTGCTTAACGACCAATCGAGTTTTCACTACAAAAATCAATAAATTTGAAGTTTATTACATAATTTTTATAATTTTGCAATTATATTCCACGCTTATCTACGACACAGTCGTAAAGTGTGGAATGTCTGTAATCATATTTATTATTTACTACCACAGAAACGAACCGAAAACCGAAATTAAGCGGAATTTTTAACTAAAACTGTAACCGGAACGAAATTTTAATTACGGTCAAGTATAAATACCATGGAAACGCTTAATAATCAATAGAAATAAAGCCTGATTCACCATCAATCAAGAGAACATTTGAAGAAGAAAGCATAAATCTTGCACAATTAACATTAAAACAAACACAAATGAAAGTGACTAAAAAAGGATATTACTGTAAACATGACTGAAGAATCATTACAACTAGTCACTAATTGTGGTGTATTCTTTTGTATTTTCAATATTATAATAGGAAACAGCAGTAAGAAGGGAATTATAAACCAAAATTTGATATTTGACTCGATTTTATATTTTAACAAAACAATTTAAATTGCTTTTTTTTTCAATTTTAAATTTTAATTTCAACCGAAAATGAACCGAAACATTTACTTGGAACGTAACCGTAAACCGGAACGAAATTTTAATTTCGGTTCAATTTATGATCTTTTTTGGTCTATTTGAATACTCCGAATTCTTCTTTAAAATAAACAAATACATAATAAACAAAACCATCAAGATTAAATACCATGGAAACGCTTAATCATCAATAGAAATAAAGCCTGATTCACCAACAATCAAGAGAACATTTGAACATTAGAACAAACACAAATGAAAGTGATTAAAAAAGGATATTACTGTAAACATGACTGAAGAATCATTACAACTAGTCACTAATTGTGGTGTATTCTTTTGTATTTTCAATATTATAATAGGAAACAGCAGTAAGAAGGGAATTATAAACCAAAATTTGATATTTGACTCGATTTTATATTTTAACTAAACAATTTAAATTGCTTTTTTTTTTCAATTTTAAATTTTAATTTCAACCGGAAATGAACCGAAACATTTACTTGGAACGTAACCGTAAACCGGAACGAAATTAATTTCGGTTCCGTTTACTACAAAATAACGAATCGAAATTCTTGGACAACATTATTCTAAGTGAACAAATCAAACTTTTTATACATTTTATGTTTTTTATAAAAGTAATGTTTCTTTTTTTCTACTGTATTATATTTTTTTTCCTCTGCCTGCTACCTCCCTCTATGAGGATCCTTTTCCATTTAGCTGCGTCCTTTCGACGCATTACACCAATCGCAATATGTATTGTAGTGGAAAGTTTAGAGGATAGGTGGAGTACGAATCGGGGTCCCGGCGATTCTACGAAAGATGTTGGGGGGACCTCGAAATAGTTGTTAGTGATGATTGGCTGTTATTTTATAAGGAAGTATCCGTGGACAATACAAAATTGGCTAAAGCCTTAAGAATTTCAGGACGATTTTCCGCTAAAAGAGAGTCTATGGAAGTTGGCAACTGTATGTTCATAGAAGCGATGGTGGACAGTAGATGTCTTGTAGATGTACTGTATTATAATGTAATCACACTGATTGTAAATGTTAAATTATTTTGCAGTTGGCGCCACCTCCTCCTCCTCGTAGCAGTTCGTAGCGGCGAACAGCAGCGCCGCCTGTCGGCTACGAAACAACTACTGAGTGACGCGGCGTCGGTACGAGGGACGCAAAACCATTTCATTTGGCTTCCGTTGTTTGGCGTTGGTTAAAGGCACAGCAAGATGGCAGATAACCGTAAGTAGAAAGAAAACTTTAAATCTTTAAATCCGCGCTGCATCCCTGTATAATAAACGCATCCGTCCGCTTTTCTCCGTTCGGCATCATCGTAGTACATAATTCCTTGCATCTGCGAGAGAATTTACTGGATATCTGTAACGGTTTGCACGTTATGCCACATCACGTAGCGTACGTTTTCCTGTAGTTCCTCTCGGAAAAGATGCCAGGTATTATAACAATCTACAAATAATTTTCATTGAAAATCCAATTGTTTCTGTTTATTTATATGTTTGTGTTTTGTTTCTGCGTATAGAATACGGTGGATACGGGAGCGGCGGTGGTGGTGGAGGAGGCGGCGGATCTGGATACGCGGACTACTCGCAACCGCCTCCCACGGCCAGCTACCCCAATAACTACGGGAACTCTTCCGGAAGTGGCGGCGGTGGCGGAGATAGCTACAATTCCGGAAACTCCGGTGGTGGTGGCGGCGGCGGCGGCTGGAACCAGAACAGTTCGCGCGGCGGAAATAGCGGTTATGGCGGCAGCAACCAAGGTTAGTGCCATCTATTGGACGCGTCTAAAAATACAAATGCACACAAATATTGTACCCGACGAGACGATACTTTTTGGCGCTTCTGCAACTATCGGAATGCGCCTCTCTGTCTTCGGTCGGATAGCGAACAATTTGCGGAATAAATAGCTTCCTATTTGAGTTCAATCTTATAGGAGGTGAGCCTCTAGCAAACAGTTACAACTACTCTATGCAATGAATTCTCTTTGAGCAAAACTGCAAAATCATATTTAAAAAGAGAATTTATTGGATTATTTTATCATTTTTTTAGTGTGTCCAATTTTAATAAATCAATTACTTTTGTTATAGGCGGTGGAAGTGGAGGAGGTGGTTACCAAGGAAGTGGTGGCTACTCCAACAGCGGAAGTGGAGGTGGTGGATATGGTGGCAGCAGTGGAGGAGGCAGTGGCTATGGTAGCAGCGGTGGAGGTGGAGGATATGGAGGTAAGAAGTCAAATACAAATGATTGGAATATTTGATTGGCAAGTAGCAAGTATCCTTACCACAAGTACTTATCAACTTGCATTACAGTTTTGTGTAATGTATTTTTAAAATACCCAATTAAGCCATGGTTGCAGACATCTTAACTGTACTGTGAACCTACACTTGAATTGGGGATAATAAATTCTTTGTAAAACACACGATGGTCCGCATTTAACCAAGGACATTGTGCACCTAAACACTGAGACATTCACTATAAAGCTGGTTACTCGTTACTCTCCTCAATACAAAGTTAAATCTGTCATTGATTTATATTAATATTTATTTTTTTTTAGATCGTGATCGTGGAGGCGGAGGTGACTATAACAGAGATAGGGGAGATCGCAGAGGCGGCGGCGGTGGCGGTGGCGGAGGATATGGGTAAGTCACAGAAACCCATAGTTGTAAACAAAACAAAGAAAGAAAGAATAAAAGCCAAAAGAGTAATGATGTTGAGAGAAAATATACAGGAATGAGTGTGGTTTTGCGGTGTTATGCCGAGGTTCGTAAAAAGCGTTATTAAAAAATTTATCAATGTAGTGATAAAGTGTCGTGTCACGACACACGAGGTCTTATGGTTTTGTAAAAAGAAAAATCCTTCCCCGAAAAGAGGAAGGATCTGGTTATATTTTTCAAAAAAAAAATGTAAAGTGTTTTTGAAAAATTCAAGTGTGAGTGTGTATATTGTACTAGAAAGCAAAGCGTTTCGGACAAACAGTGGGAATCAAATAGGTTCAGAAATCAATGCGAACACACGGAGAGAGGTCTGTTGCATGTGCATTCCCCTAACCAAAAAAAAAGTAATGATTTTTGAATCTACTCTCGATTACATACGCCTTTGCTGCATCTTAGTTTTGGTGTTGTTATAATTTTTATTTTTTTTTTGTAAATCATATTTCTCGATTGAATTTTATTATTTAATGCAAATATGGTTCAACTTTTCAGAAACTTTTTATTATTTTTCTGCTTTTTATTATTCTTATATATAATGTGAAATGTTTTATTTTTCTACCCCCAAACGACTAAGACTGTTTTTTTTTTAATTTTCACTTTTGGTTAATACGCATTCGAAAGTGGATGTGTATAGAGATCAAAAAGGGTTTTGGTTATTATTATTGTTTTTGGTAAAAAAAAAAAGAGTTTATCGTGAGGTTATATTAATAAGGGTTTTCTTTGATTGATTGTGAATCATTCTTTAAGGTAAAATGAGGTTTAAAAAGTGTTAAGGGTTTTCATTCTTCAAGATATAAAGGTTAATGTTAAAAAGAGTTTATTGTAATAATAAGGGTTTTCTTTGATTGTGATTCATTGTTTGAGGTATAAAATAATATAATTAGGGGGGTTTTGTTGTTGTTGTTGTAACATGAAAAAAAAAAAATGAAATATTGTTATGACTTTGACCGACCTGGACAGGATTACGACGATGACCGACGGACGTAGACTGGTTTGAGACGTTGTCATTTGCAGATGAAGAAAACTTTGGACGTTACAAATAATACTGTTTAAAGACTGAGAGTGTTCTGAGAGTCGCACGCTCGCTCGCACGTACACACACACACAAATGTATTGGCCAACAGACCGTTGGTTCCTCCTTGATGATGCGTCTTCAAGTACTGATCGTTTGCTTCTGTTTTAGAGGTGGCGGAAGGGGTGGTTATAAAGGTAAACGCACCAGACCAAACACTGGCTGGTGCCATTTTTGTACACACTTTTTAATAATTTATACGTATTCTATATATATATATATTGTATACATATATAACAGAAATGTATGTTACATGGTATTTATTATTATTATTATTTTTTTGTAGACGAAAGAGCTCCACCATTTTAACTGCAGTTTTTATTTATCTATTTATTTTGTAATCTCAATCTCGTGTTGTTGCTGTTGTTGTTGTTGTTGGTGGTTCCTGCTCTCGAAGAGTACGGAAATTAAGAAAGGTGTCCTTCCGAAAACGCAAAATTCATTACGCTGACTTTATGGATGCAACCTCTTCGTGCGATTCGGGCTTCACGTTTGTCCCATCCACGATACTCGCTGTATCCTAGAGTATAACTACTACTACTAACACCTTTAAAACTAGAATACATTACGTGCAGCGATTCGAATGCAGTAGAAATGTATCCTAAGTTTAAATGGTTCGCAAAGAAAAGGTTTTCCTCCAACATGTTAAAAAAAAAAAGTTTCGTTGCTGGATGCTCTTTCACATACACTCGTTCCATGTCTCTCGTGTCTTCGCGCAAGCAAGACCGAACTTTGTATTGGCATATTTGCATTTAAACAAAATACAAGTAATTTTAAGGCACGTTAATTATTGGTAAAGACTTTGGTATATATATAAATATATATAAAAAAAAACAAACTTTTGGTTCTCTCGAACGAAGGGTTCACGCTAAGTGAGACAAGAAGTAATTACATAACTCCAATTACCATAAGTGATTGCGAGTATTATTTTTCCAATTAGAAGATCACTATTTATTTTTATTTTTTTGAGTAACTTTCAAATTTTTTGATAATGCAAAAGCATATTATTATATTATTATTACATATGAAGGGTGGCTTTTTTAGTGCGAGAAATTTGAATTTTTGTTTCAATTGCAGGCGGTTCAGGTGAAATGGTCATCCAGGAAGACACCGTTTTCGTTTCGGGCATGGATACAGAAGTTTCAGAGGCTGAAATCGAGCAGCACTTTGGCGCTATCGGCATTATCAAGGTGAGAATCAATGTATTGCGATTACTTGGAAAAGCGGATTCCGAGTGTGCAAGGTTCATCAAAATTGCACGCCTCTAGGAAGATATATTCCGCTGAGATCGAAGCTCAGACATTACTTCTGCCTTTTCCGGTTTAAAAGAATCGCAGTTATGCTTATCTGATACATACGAAAGCAACAAACAGTTGTTGCTTTGTTTTTTTAAATTGCGTAACTAATTGTTTTTCGGTCTGTTTTCAGACTGATAAGAAGACTATGAAAAAGAAGATTTGGTTGTACAAGGATAAGGCGACTGGAAGTTCCAAGGGCGAGGCCACAGTTACCTACGATGATCCGAACGCGGCGCGTTCGGCAATCTCGTGGTTCGATGGTAAAGAGTTCCGAGGAAACACCATCAAAGTTCAGATGGCCACGAAGAGGGATAACTGGAGCGGTGGTCGTGGAGGAGGAAGAGGTCGTGGTGGCGGCGGCGGTGGTGGTGGTCGCGGAGATGGAGGCGGCGGCGGCGGATACGGAGGTCGCGGAGGAAGCCGTGACGGTGGTTAGTATTTGATTATTCTCTTAATGATTAACAACCCCAATTGAACAAGCCATGGTTGTAGAAATCTCAACTGAACTGTGGACCTACACTTGAATTGGGGATACTGAATTCTTTGTAAAACACACGATGGTCCGCATTTAACCAAAGACATTGTGCACCTAAACACTGAGACATTATTGTATTTGGAGTTATTCCTTTATTTTAGTTGCGAAGTGGAGCAATTTTTTTTAAATATATTTGTTTAATAATTGTAGGTGGTGGTGGAGGCGGCGGTCGCGACAGGGAAGCCAGAGATGGCGACTGGAGGTGCCCCAATCCTGACTGCGGGAACACCAATTTCGCGTGGAGAAATCAATGCAATCGCTGCAACGAGGATAAACCTGAGGGTGCAGGCGGTGGCAGCGGAGGCGGCGGTGGTGGTCGCGATAGACGTGGTGGTGGCGGCGGCGGAGGAGGAGGCGGATACCGAGGTGGAGATAGGAGAGGAGGTGGCGGATACGGAGGAGGCGGCGGTGGTCGTGGACGCGGTGGTGGCGGCGGCGGCGGATACAGAGGCGGAAGGTAAATAACAACATATCCAATTGAGATTCGAGAAATGCGAGCTACACTCTGTGTTTGGGTCAATTTCCATGTCCAAATTCAATTTGACGTTTCGCTATAGTGAAGTCTTCAGATCTGTTCCTGCATTAGGTCTTCTTATATCGAATGCAGTTATTATATCTGAAACATGTTGAACATTCATAGAAACCCATCCACATACAATTGACGTCAATAATGCAAGGAAATCGTTTCATAAATAAGGACGAATATCTTTGTAGATAATGAAACGACATGACGTGACTAATTGAGTATTATCTTTGTTCCTCTTTATCATTTGCAGTTGAAAACATTATTTACGTAAAATGCATTATTTGCATAGCTAAAATTAACTTGTTTTTAAATGTTTGTACGCAGTTATACGATCTTTGTCACATTTTAAATTCGATACTAGTTATAATCATGCAACAAGTTATTTAATATATGCCATTGACACTAATTGTTATACACGTCAGCGTTTCATCACGTCACTTATTAAATATTAAACGTTTCCTAAGTTATTGACGATCAATTGAACATGGGACACGTAAGTGTTTCATCATTTATTCATCTTAATACACACATATCATGGACATACCTTAATAACGTGATGTTTTCTTGTTTTGCAGGGACGGAGGAAGAGACGGCGGAAGGCCAAAGCCATACTAGATGTATTAAAAACTATAAATTCTTATATATATTTATATATATATATTTAAGACGGACCGGAAACAGAATTCCGGAAATGCATTTTATAAATGTACTTACATGTGTGTCCTCCCTCCATATTATCCCTCTTCCAAAATTCCTGCAACAAAACCATGCAGGAAAATTTCCCCACTATTTCATTCAATTTTCTCCTCTCGATGTGATGTAAGTTATTTTTTTGACAAAAAAAAGAGAACACAATTTATTAATTTATCGATCCACATGAAAGCCGAGTAGAGTTGTTGAAGAGGAAAACAACAACAACCACAAAAAATGTGTAAAGTTATTATATTATTTTTTATGTATCGATTGGGCGTGTATTATTATAATTTTTTTTTTAAATGTTAATGCGAACGAGAGAATGCTGATGCTCGAGCAGAAACAAAAAACTTTGAAAATAAAGATGGAAAAGTTTTCTCTGAAGAAAACACAAATAACAACAAGATTCAATTTTTTCTTTTCATTTAATTTTTCTTTATTATTTCCAATATATAATATATTTATTGCTCAACTTCCTATATATCTATTTCAATATAAATATATCTGAAAAGTGGGCTTCTTTTTTTTAATTCCATAAACAAACAAAAAAATAATAAAAACTAAAAGATTATAACACTAAAAAAAGAAAACAGAATAATGAATTTTTTTTATCACAACGAAAACTTTTTAACAATAAAAAAAATAATAAATATATAATTTTGATGGTAATTAGTTGTAGCAAATGAAGAGGGGGTTACACAAATTACACCAAGAAATATATTTGAATAAGTTACATAACTGTTATTATAGATTTTTTTTTAGATTTTCGAAAAAAAAAATAATATGTAACAAACTTTACTTCTTCCTCTCGTCATCTTCGTCGTCGCTCAACAATCAGTTCCTTCGACGTTTGTTTGACTCCTCCTCCTTTAAACGTAAAACAAAAGATTACAATTAGCAACCGTATCTTGGTAACACTAACATCATTGGTTGCATGGTAACAGATTTTAAATTGCATTTGTCGAAATCACTATTGTTTATATAATGAAGAAGCAAGCACAAGTAATTAATGTCAATTTATAGCAAAAGTTGCATCATAGTGTTGAGTCATTACAACATATTTCAGCAAATAACATGTTTTCACGTATTATTAATTGGTATTAAACTGTACATCAATTAATGTTGTTACTAGATCAATGACAAATGCAAATATTCATAAAACAATTACCATTAATGACCTACTTGACCCAATCACATTAATAATTGTATTTGAATATATTGTGAAGGTCAAATTGTATTGTTTTTGCAGTGTGATCGAGTGTTGAATGATTTTGTTGTTTTGAAGGCCTTTGTACTTTGCACTATGAATTGTTGATAAAGATGAGGTGATTGGTGGACGGTTTAGGATGCAGGGAGGACACAATACCTATTATTTACCTTCTGGGTGAGGATGATGACCAGACGTCTGAAGATGCCCACGAAGTCGATGAAGAGATCGAGGGAGTGCGTGACGAAATCACGGCTACCCTGACGTCTCTTCTCGATGATCAGCTGAGTGTCGTAGAGGACGAAACCGCACATCATGATCAACCCCAAGTAGAGATGTACCTGGAATAGCCACTGGGAGCCGAAGAAGAGGTTGGCCAAGGAGAGAAGAACCATCGAGTTGAGGATGGTCATCAGAGTGCCGCCCAAATACAAGTATTTTCCTCTTTCGGCCAGCATCGAGCAGATGGAGAAGCTCATGAAGACCACAGTCGTACCGATGAAGGCGGTGACGATGATGTTCGGATTAACGTACATGACCTGCTCCAGCAGTGGCCCCAATCCGATTCCACTGAGGAACGCGAATCCCAGCAGGTAGCCCAGACGTTGCAGCATGTTCTTGCCCTGCTCATCGGCTGTCATCATCAGCAAACCGAAGCAGATCAGCGCCCCGATGCTGGTGAGGAAGCCAGCCTGCAGGTAGTCGGTGTACATATGGACAGCTGAGCCTGCGGCTGCTGACAGGGTGGAGGCTGTGAGGCAAGCGTACACATTCTTCAGGTGGGTACGAACTGGATCTTCCCTGAAACAAACAAATTAAATGAAATTATCAAAAACGCCATGTTTGTTTAGATTGTGCACGTACAGTTTGTTGTTGAAGGAGTTCACGAACGTGTGCACTAGAGGCGTCATAATTTTGCTTATTTTTTTTGTTAACTTTCGTTCGGGTTTGCTGAATTTGTTCCCCGAAAAAATCACTTTTTTTTGACAAGCCGAGAGAGAGATTTTTCACACGACACCAAAAATATAGCTCACTACGTTCAACGATCAAGTGATGGTTGCAATGCAATTGTTTTGATATCTACGTACAATACACGTACGTCTCTGACCGCTGCTGTACGAACGAATGAATAGAACACACGTCATGCACGTAACACATTCTAGATTTCCACGGATCCGAGCGTCGCGATTCGTCGAGCCGTCGTCACGTGCCGCCCCCCAAAAACAAAACACCGCCCCCCCGATAGATGGAGCCACCGTCCGGAACGTTCCCATTGGACGACGGTCACGTGTCCACCATAATCTGACAGCTGACAAGAATGACAGCTCGCGAAAAACAAGTCGATTGTTGTGTCGGTGCGGTGTGCGGATTAATTATGAGCTAGAAATAATAAAGTGGGTGCATTCGTTTAAATATGGCTCAAGCGACGCTGCAGGATTTGTTCGAGCTGCAGTGCGTGTTGAGGAACGTGCAGATAATCAGATGCGCCCGAGTCGAGAACGGCGTGAAACAATTGCTCGCACTAGTTACGAGGTGAGTTTCCATTATTCTTGTATTTCATAGCCCACCTGGATAATTATTATTACTCAATTAACTACTATTAGTCATTTCACTTTAATTCTAATCTAATTGGTTGTTGATGTTGTCATCGTAGCAATGGAGAGATTGTGCTGCACTACACCTTCGGGGAGCTTCCAGCAGTGATCAAGAGGATCCCCTGGCTGACGGAGACGGCCAAGAGCATCGAAGCACTCTGCTTTGATCCGTTCGCTAATTGGCTGCTCGTTGTCAGTGAGTTACATTTTATATTATTGATTGCTTCATTCATCAACCAATCCTTGAAAATAAACAGCATGACTAACATTTTTTTTTAACTACCACAGTTTTTACATTTACTTATTTTTATTATTATTAAAGCTTTAACAACACTATATTTACATAACAAAATTAACTTTAATCATCAACAAGTGGACAATCAACTTATTTCTTAGATAAGTTCAAATGAGAATTAAATGATTTGTATCTAATACATTTTTCGCCTCTATTTGTTTATGTTTACTGATAAGATTATCATTTGTTCTGGAGGTCAAACAATCTTACTCTATAATTTTGTTATGGAAATTAACTTATATAAATCTTTCGATTTAATACTGATTTATTTATGTTTTAGCTCAAGACAGCTCTCTGTACATAATACCGGCGTTAAGTCTGGTTGATAAGAAGCAAAAGGTGGACTGTAAATGGTCGTTGTCCGATGTGACTCACTTTAGTAAGCATCAGAACGTTCCCGAATTCAAGCCGAAATGCGTGATCTGGTGGCAGACGTTGGATTGTAATCAGAATGCCCTGGTGGGTTACGAGAACGGTAACATAGCGTTGATCAGTCTGACCGATGGAAGATGCATCGGTGTCTGCTCGGTCACGGATTCGGTGCGGCAGCTGTACGTGTGCCAGGACAACTCTCTGGACTCTATATTTCTTCTGGTGATTATCGATTAATGTGATGATCGTGATGATTAAGTTATCTTTTTTTTTATGTAGATCAACGGAGAGAGTGGGCAGCAATGGAGATTGGTGCTGGAGCATCATTCCACCGGGTACCAGTGGCCTCCGGATGCGGCCGTCGTCTGCGATGACAGCACCAGGTCCCGGTTGTACAGCTTGAAGCAGATGGGCGTCGATAAGCTGGTTTCTCTGAAGCAGCGGATTGTCGATGGAGGAAAGCATCATTCCCGAAGGAACAGCCAGACCAGCGACACGGCCAGTGAGTCTTCGCACTCGGAACATTCGAACCATTCCTCGCATTCGGTTCCCGAGCTTCTGCCGCACCTCTGTGATACGTACTTCTCGCCGCAGTACGCACGCAGCAGATACCTCTTCTGCGCCTTCTACAAGCCCTCCAGTCTATTAACTGTAATCCCGAAAATCATATGCTCGATGCATTCTGTGGAAAGTTTACGGAGTAATTAAACGGTTTGTTTTTGCTGGTTTCAGGTACACACGGTGGACGTGGAATCGGCCCCCCTGTACGTGCACAAATTGCCACCCAGATCCGATTGGCTGCTCCTCACCGACAAGCTGATCTACATCATCAACAGCCAATACAATGCGGTGTCCATCGTCAGCGCTCACCTATCCGAATGCAAGCTAGAAGGAGATTCGGTATGAATCCATCTAAAATTGATGTTTGTTCATCATAATTAATCAATTCGACTTTCAGGAATTCAATGAGGATTCGTTGATCGGCCATTTCAGCGTAGAGAACGAGCGCATCCTGAACATCTACAAGGTAACAGACACGACTCTGCTGAAAGGTCGTAAAGATAACAAGAAGGAGAAGAGCTATTCCTTGCCGAAGACTGTGGATGAACTTAACATTCCCAAGATGAAGATCGACACTTGCGTAATCGTCACCAACAATTCCGTGTACAGAATCATTGTCAGGTTCGTGTTTTTGTCGTATTCGAGAGGGTTTTTAACTTATTAAAAATGTTTGCAGATCTTCGCCAATCAAAAAGTTCATCACATTCGTGAACGAAGACTGGAACCTGATCAAGGCTGAAAGACTGGCGCTCGTCTTCGGTCTGAACATGCAGCAGCTATTCGAGAGTTGCGGTGATCTCCTCATCGGCAACCATTCCTTCCATCAAGGTCTGATGCTCTACAAGCAATCGAAAGTTCATCTGCTGAAGAGAGTGCTGAAGCTGGCCGTGTCCGCCGACTGCAAAGCGCTCCTCAAGTACATCAATCTCTGTTTGAGCACAAGCAAAGTGGACATGTCGATGGCCACGAAGATACACATCGGCAATTTAGCGGTCATGGCGCACACGGAGATGGTGCTCAGGCATCCCGGACATCTTCGAACCATCTACACCAAAGATTTCATGCAAGTCCTTAATTTTGTTTGCCCAAAAAAAATCATAAGTTTAATTCGATCATTGTTTTGCAGGACTTTTCTCTGTTACGAAGAGTACTATGACCAAGTGCTTGCGGTGAACGTGGCTTGCCAGGCGGGGCACTGGAACGTCGTCACGCTGTTAGCACGAAGCCGCGGTCTACAGCCGGAGGTGGTCGCCGCCCTCAGTCAAGTCATCCAATCGGCTCGTTCCATTCGCGAGTCGGAGGGAGGTTTCCTGTACGCCCTCTCCGAACCCTGCCTGACGCAGAGCCTCCTCATCTATCCAAGCTATTCCCTCATCATCCTGCATTACGTGCGCAACAATCTCCATCTGTTTCCCGTTGACATCCTGCGACGATTCACAGTGCAGTTGGATCCGAGTCAGCCGTGCGCGTTGCCCGTAGTCAGCAAGATCTTCCAGAATAACCATGGCAACAAGGGTTCAGGCCTAGACTCCACCTTGGACTCGGTGGAGTACGAACCGCCCAGCTGCAGCGGCGCCCTCGTCAAAGAGTTCATCGAGTGCTTCATTCTGGTGGTGCTCACGTTGATCGACAAGGACGACGACAAAAAGTGAGCAATATTTAATTCAGTTTAACGTTTTTTTTGTTAACACATTGACGACGGCATGACCCACCGGTGGGTCATTAATTATAAATAATAGTTTTGTTGCTATGTACGCCACTGATTTTGACTGAGAATAACCTCAAATATCTTAAGTCAATTACAAACTTCAAACGCCAATACATTTATTATACATATTTTAATAATTCTTGAAGCAATTTAGAACAATACGTGATATTGTGACATAATTTAGGCATACTTTGCAAATTAACTTATGAAACATATTTGAATCGCAAAGGCATTGAAAATACAATATGATTATCAGAAGCAGATATTATTTCTGTTTCTAAAAAAATATTGCTAATTTATTCAAATACAATACAAGTTTAGAGCACAAGATGATATATTTTATGAACATCTTCAAAACATTTGATACACAGTGTCGGTTGATCATAACACTGTGCGCAATATGTAACAACTTTATGAAAATTTCAATATTTTTCCCACAATTGTTATAAATTACTTCAATATCATTACAAAATGTATAAGAAAAATTTAAGATGGATGGAAGATGCATCGGTGTCTGCTCGGTCACGGATTCGGTGCGCAAAAAAATGTATAAGAAAAATTTAAGCGTTTAAAGGTTATAATTGACGTAAGATATTTGACGTTTTTCTCATTCCATAGGCGTCCACGAAAATTTTTTTGGGGGCAGGCAACCCGAAAAGCGCCGTCCTTAATGTGTTAAATGTTCTTCTGTTGTTTCAGATACGACATCAGCTTACTGGAGAAGACCAAGGGATGTGGTTACCATGGAGATCAACAGCAGGTGCTGAAAGAACTGCCGCGTCTGCATCCGCTGAGCTGCGGATACGAGCACGCTGCCGTCGTTCGAAACAATTGCGTGTACACTATGGGTCTTGCTACGTCGGGTTGCTTAGGTCTTGGTCCTCTCCTCACTCAGAGCAGTTCATCCAAGCTCGTGCAAACTTTAGCTGATCTCAAGGTGAAGGTGATCAGCGTTAGTTGCGGCAGAAGACACACTCTAGCCTTGACCAATTTCGGGGTATGATGAAAAGAAAACCGTTACCAATTATTATTTATATGTATATTGTTTGTTAGGTGTACGCTTGGGGTTCGAATGCGCACGGGCAGTTGGGTCTGGGCAGTTCCGTGCAGGAGTCTCCGTATCCGCAAATGATCACCACGCTCTTCGACAAGAGGATTGTGGACGTGGAGGCCGGTCAGTATCACAGCACCGCACTCACGGTGACCGGTCAAGTGTACACCTGGGGCTGGGGTATTCACGGACAGTTGGGTCACGGCACCTGCAACAACGAGTTTGTACCGCGACTCCTCGATTTCAACATGACGGTGAAGCAGACTGCCGCCGGACATGCCCACACTCTGATCCTTACTTCCGATGGAAAGACCTATGGCTTCGGCTCCAACCTTTTCGGTCAGTTGGGCTCTTGCAACGTGGACAGCAGCAAAACGACAATTCCAATCTGGGTGCTCGTCATGCCCGACATTTACACGCCCATCGAACGTATATCCACCGCATACTTTCATAACGTGAGTTTTCATTAATTCTATATGTATGTTTAGAATTATGTAAGTTTTTGTGTTGCAGGTGGCTGTGAGGGCGGATCAGGAGGTGTACACGTGGGGCGCGAATCCGCAGGAGGTACGGATGTGTCAGTCGAAGTTCAGTCAGAAGCTGAACGTGTACGGAAGCAAGCCGTACGAACCGTGGAAAGCGAGCTTAAACATCTACTCCAGCGGCAATCAGAAGTCTGTCGACGAGTGTTCGGTGGGGTACAGACACAGCGCCCTGCTGCACGGTGGGAAACTGCTGTGGGGTTGCAGCAGAGACGGAGAACTGTGCGAACCGAAAATACGTGAGCAAGATCTGCTACGTGGAATGCACCAGAAGTTCATGCACGTGTCGTGCGGGCCCGATTTCATCATGGCCGTGGAGAACTGCGGGAAGGTTTTGGCTTGGGGTAACAACCACATGGCTCAGACTATCCTAGGTAAGTCGTTCGACGACCATCGCCACAGTGAGGGCAAAGTGGTCATCATGAGGAATACGAAGCGGATCATAAAGATCCCGAGCAGCGTTCCGGCCAACTCGGAGGGTTACCCAGTGGAGGTGCCCGGTTTGCCAACGCTGGCCATCAACTACGGTACAGAGGACGAACGCGAGGAGGCTAAAAGATTGCCGTTCTACGCGATCCTCACCGTGGAGAACCGCCGACGACCTTACCACATCTACACGAAGCCCCTCACCAAGACTAACTTCAACCCGGAGTTCCTGTGCACCGTGCCACATCTGACCATCGGTCAGAGGACACTTCACTACGTCCTCGAGACGTATCACGGTCACTACGACGCCGAGTCCGTACTCTCCAAGTGCTTGGAGCTGCGCAACCATCAGGCTGCCAGCAAACTCTCCATCCTCGACGGCCACTTCGGCGACTCCCTCGCCTATCAGCTGCAAACCTTCAAAAGCTTCATGGACTCTTCATCGCTGCAGCTGAAGTCGTCCAACAACGGCTACGACCTCAACATCCTCGGTGATCTGCGCAAGAACGAGTTCAACGGCATCCGTTTCGAGTTCGGCGCTCTCAATTCGCCGCCTCAGCACATCCTCAGCTCGAGCTCATCCCTGGACAGCATCCGGCAATGGGGTGACGATCTGGACCATCAGGGAGGCCGCGAGAGTCCCTGCCAGATGGCCGAGATGGGTGACATCAAGCAGTCGATGACGCAGTACGTTCAATCGGTACGTAACGACGGCACCATAACGACCATCTCGAAGGTGATCGAGGAGAAGCCTCGCTACCAGAAGACCCTGATCACCATAGACACGGAAGTGGACGCTATGTACAAGGATGCGCGCACCAGGGAGGTGATCAAGACGGCAGCACTCCTCGTCGAGTTCTACATCCGTAAGACGTACAACTCGGAGAACCACATCCTCATGCAGAACATCCTGCTGAAATGCATCGAGTTCTGGCTGAACGGAGGCCTTCCTGTGACCATCCTCGAGATGGTCCTGCTGAAAAATATGGATAAGTATTTCTACCCGCTCTCCATTCTGCTCTTCTGCAAGAACTTCAATAACAATCTGGGCGAGGAGATCGCCGAGAACGAGAGACCCAGCTCGGCGAGATTCCTGAAAGAGTTCTCCACCAAGTTTTGCCTTGAACTGTGCTCGATGGTCCTCGAAAACGTGAACAAAGCGTAAGTCTCTCAGAAGAACGCAGAGATATAAAAAACAAACCCTAGTCAAACCGAGTAAATCAGATCTCATTAATTTTTCTCTTTTTTTAAATATTTTTAGACTTTTATATATATTTTGTCTTCCCTCCCTATATTCTAAAGTTAGGACGAAAAATGCGATTTTGTTGACTTTTTTCTTCTCTCTATCTCCTAAGTTTTGTTACCTATATTTTTAATTAATTTTTAATGATTTAAACGTGCGCACTTGCAAGACACAATGTTTACATTTAAGATGGCAACAAAACAAAACAAACAAACATTATATAAATATATATAAATATGGTTGTTATTAGTACTTTTAGAAGTTATATTGTATTTAGGCTTTGCGCTTTGTAACTGATAAACTCCCTTTGAACTTAACTAAACAAAAAGAGAATATTGTACCTGTTAAATATAATCGATTTAAAAAAAAAACTAACAAACATGAACACAACAACAAATTACTTTACAACCCTTTATACAACTTCGCAATTAGACAGTGTATATAAAAGTTTGAATTACATAACGTTGTGGTTTTGCAGCAAATGAAAAACGCGGCAGTGCGATACATCAACGCGTCTGATATTTCGAAAGAATCACGAGTATTGATTGGCCAGAGCTGTTTTTAGATTGAAATTTGGTAAGTTTCCTTATTATCTCCTGTTAGTTAACTTCTTCTTCCTCTAGTAATGAGTTTCCTTCTGGAAATTCCTTCACATTTACTATCTACAATAATTAAGCAAAGTGGTTAGTGTTAAGTCGAAATCTCTGCATCTGTGTATGTGGGCCTAAGATTTAGCGGTCGGGGAACAGGGGTAAATTACCCAAAATGGGGTAAAAATGATTTTTTTTTGGTAATAGGGAAATTTTTCTAATTTCATCTTACCAAACTCGGAGAGCGGTTATCTGACTACTTTCCAGATCTTGATGTACAAACTGTGAATTGTCATTTTAAATGTGAAATTACTAACATACCAGAAGAA